TGGGCAAACCCATGTGGGGCCACCGTGGAACCCGCGGACAAACCCATATGGGTCCCATCTGGTCTGCCCTCCTTTTACTCATATGGGGCCCACCTGGGTATGCTGGCAGGGCAAAGACAAGAAAATGAAAACAGAGAAAATTTTAAAAAGTCGCATGTGAGCATATTTCTTTATGAAATACGTATTCATTTACTCGATGTTACTTGACTCGATGTTACTTGAAGCAGCCATGCATCATAATTAAATTGCTTGCAAAGTCTCCAGTTCTTCCAGTATGGAGGGGGAGCCCCTTTCGGCCCTCTGCACCCCCGCTTTGGTGGTGGATGTGGACAAAGTGAAGAGAAACGCGCAGAGGATGATGGAGCGCTGCCACCAGCTGGGAGTCCAACTCCGACCGCACATGAAGACCCACAAAACCCTGTACGGAACCGCGCTCCCTAACACTGATGAAGCCGACGTTTCCATCAGGGATGCTGTAATATGTGTGTATGTGTGTGGGTGTGTGTGCGTGTGTGTGCCTTTCTGCAGTGAGTGTGCTGACATCATGACAGGTGGATCCCGGAGGTGCATTGTGGTTTCCACCCTGGCAGAGGCCACTTTCTATGCTGACCATGGCTTTGCTGACATCCTGTATGCATACCCTCTTCCCTTTGACAAGGTATTCTCCAATGAGGCTTCCACATGCCATTATACTGTAGTTATTATTATTATCGGCAATGCAGTACTTCCACTCCCTTTCGCCACAGTCTGTCATTTTATTCCCTCTGTGAGTTTTAAACACACAGCGTCACTTTATAAAAATGACTTGTGAATATTGTAGCAGCCATTTATCCTTTCTGGTGTTTATCGCCACCAGGGGGCGTATTTAATTTTGAGTTCTGAGTGTCTGATGGGGGCATGGGTTATTTAAGGTCAAGCATCATTCTGTTCAGGTGTTAATAGGCAGAGGCAAACAGTTTTCTACTGTGCATGGTTTGGATGGATGTCGAATTTATATGGATCTAAATGGAAACAGTAAGACAATGGACATTGTTCTGACAAATAAATGACTTTATTTTATGTCAAATGGAAGATCGGCATCATGAATCTTAATTGAGCGCACGGAAAACCAACGCCTTTCAAGAACAACCACCAGTAGCCTAAAATATAGGATTTTAGCCGCTACAAATATTGTGAACATTTCTAGGGTCAACAAATCAATCATTTCATTATAATCTGAATATTTATGTCTCAAAAGACATGCAGAGCCTCTCTGTGAAATACCTGCTAAGCATCTGCGTTTGTAGGTAGAGCGCTGTGCCGCTCTGTCGGAGAGACTGGACCTTTTCCAAGTTCTGCTCGACCATCCCGACGCGCTGGAGCGGCTCCGGAAGAGGCCACTGAAAGGCGGCCGGCGGTGGCACGTGTGGCTCAAGCTCGACTGTGGAAATGGGAGAGGTGAGCATGCTGGGTACGCTGCAAAAACGCAAAATCTTATGAAGTTTTTTTTTTAGTCTGGTTTCTAGTGCAAATATCTTTGTACACTTGAAATATAAATAGCTTTTCAGCAAAACGTAGTAAATAATTCTAGTTCCATTGGGAGATTATTTCACTTATGGGAAAAATGTCTCATTGTACGTGGCATAATCTTCCAGTGGACTTGTTTTTAATCAATATTAAGGAATTATTTACTTAAAACAATTTCCTATATCTTCCTGAATAGTTACTTTTGTCTTATTTAAGATATTTGCACTATAAACTAGACCAAAAATACTTGATAATATGTAGTGTTTGTGCAGTAAAACGACAACTCCATCGCTCCTGATCGTTCGGCGACTGTGAGTTTGCTCTTTGGTGCAGCTGGCGTCCTGCACTCAGAGCCAGAGGCGCTTCAACTGGCTCGGGCCATCGCTGAGGCAGATGGCGTGGAGCTGACTGGGGTGTATGCCCACTGTGGGAACACGTACAACTGCAAAGGGGTGGAGCAAATACAGGCCGTCGCCCAGGAAACCACCAGCTTTACGCTGCAGTTCATGGAAAAGTAAGCCAAGGGTTTAAAATAGAGGTTAAGACTGATATGAATTTAGGAAATCTTGAGTCCCCAGGGTGGCAGGAGTGTGTGAGAATGTGTTTGTGTGAGGCTGAATGTTAGAAAAAAATAAAATATTGAATATTGATAAGAGTGCTAGTCCCACTGTCTTGCTACCAGCAAAATAATCACCCGATGCAACCTGTACTTTTTTAAAAATCATTATTAAGCAGTTATTAACATCAGTCAAGCTTCAATATATTGTTGAAAAGTAACTTGAAAGTAGTTTTGTTTTATTTCAAGTGTACTAAGACATTTGAGCTGGAAACACCCTTTAATTTTTATGTATTTGCTGTTTGAATTTTCTTTCAAATCTTTCACCAGTAGCCCTTACAGCAGCAATTTGTTATTAAATGTAGTTATAATGAAAGCTTCTATGACCAAATGTTTTTTTGTTTTCTTTTTTCACCTGGCAGATTGAAGGCCGTTGGCATCAGCTGCAAGTCCAGCATCGGCTCCACCCCCTCCTGCAGTCATCCCGTCTCAGACATGGGAAAACTGAGCGAGGTGCATCCTGGAAACTATGTCTTCTACGGTGGGTTACATTAGCGTCGGTGCATGGCGGCTGGAAAAACAAACAAACAAAAAAACATTGGAGGACAAATTATTTCTGTTGGGTTTTAGACGTCCAGCAGTCTATGATTGGCTCGTGCGGTCTGGAAGACGTGGCTGTGAGGGTTTTGACGAGGGTCGTAGGACACTGTCCCCATAGAAACCAGCTCTTGGTCGACTGTGGATGGATGGGAATCAGGTGGCTTTACGAGACCCTCTTCTGTGCTGCTTTCATTTGAACCTGCAAACTGGATCCCTTTGCTGGTGGAAATGTGTCCTGTAACTTTCTGACATTGTTCCTCACAGTTTGGACGGAGCTGGAAAGCTTCCCACTGGATACGCTATCATCGAAGGCCACCCAGACCTCAAGTAAAACCTGTTTCCGCTTTCTTTCTGGTCTCCAAACTAAAAATATGTGTACCAGGTTAACTAATTAAATATGTTTTCTTCTAGGTTGTTGTCTATGACTCAAGAGCATGGGAGAGTGGAGCCCATCTCAGGTCCACTGGACTACAGCAAATACCCCATAGGCTCTCTGCTCACACTGATCCCCTATCATGTTAGTGTTGTTACTCTGTTGTGACTGATAATCAAAATGGTTTCTTGAGTCTGTAAAGTAAAACTTCCTCAAATGTTCTACACACTTTACCGTCTCCTTCTGCAGTGCTCCAACTAATTTAAATACAAGCAATAATCTGTTTTCTATTTGTTTTGGTTGTTTTTTTTGTAGCAGAAAGCAGATGTTATGTAGTTTCCCAGCACTCAACCCCAACTAAGGAACATTTACTCCACTACACATGGATACAAGAAGTAGCAAACTTGATCAGAGGGCAATTAACGGATAAAATATATTTTATTTTCTAGTTATTTGGTGCCCCAGGCAACTGCCCATTTAGCCCATATCACAAACCTCCACTGCACTTAGCATTTAGCAGAGATGAGTTAAACAAAATAGCAACGTTCGCCTTCTTATAGATCCACAAATCTTGTTTGACCCTTTAAAAACAAAGATTTTGTAATATTTTTAAATCCATTTACATAAAAGGTTGTTTTATTGTAAAATTTGAAGAATCAAAATAATTTTTATGATTAGTACTTATTTTTATTCAGGTCCATTTTTTTTTATTTAATTTTTGATTATTTTTTCACTTTGATTTGTATTATCAATTGGTTGTTTCTGCTCTAGAGTGCTTGATGATGCATTGTTTTTCTTATTAGTTGTTTTACTGGGGACTTATTCAAGTATACTTACATTATTATGTTAATATGCATTTCCCCTTTTGATAAATACATTTTAGAAAATAAATTTAAACAACAAAACATTTTCACTTTGCACTATCTTCCTGTTTTATTGTCGTCTTCTCTCTTTGCAGTCTTGTGCGGCGGCCGCGATGCACCCTGTGTACCATGTGCACTCTGAGGGTCGCCTGATGGGAAAGTGGACACCCACCCGGGGGTGGTGAACATATGTCCAGACGTACACTTGAAGAAGCTGGAGATGAATCAATATAAAGAAAAGTACAATTATAAGAGAGGGAATATTGCATCATTCCTTATTATGTAGATAGATTGCAAAAATAAAACTTGTGAGCTAACACAGTGAGCAGCAATGGAAGCCCTGGAAGGGGAAGTGGAAATGTGGGGTTGAATACTGTCTGATTTCTAATAAATCAAAATCAGAATGAGTTGTAAAAATTCTGTGATTATTTCATCAATGCCATTACAGCTTTTGTAATAGCATTGCAAAAGCAGGAATGTTATAGTATGCAGTATTGTTATAATACACAGCTCTGTGGAAACTCTTCTACCATCTGGAGGGATACATTTATTTATTTGTTGCATTTCCACTTAAATCGAGCATGAATTGCTGAATTTGTCAAACAAAAAATCGGATGAGAATTATTTTAATATGGTTATGAGTAAGCATAATTCTGTAAGATTAGACTCGATAGACTTTAAAATTTTGGACATATGTGATATTTAAAAAGAAGACCTTACTCGTTTATATTTCATGTTTTAAATTCAATCTGTAAAATCAATTAAATTTGAAATAAAAAGCATCCAAGCTTTTAAAGCAGAATCTTAAAATCAGCTGAGCGTTTTTAAGAATTTGCTTGAAATAATAAAAATGATTATTTAATTACTACATATATGAAGAAAAATAAATGGGTGTGTCTCGTGATTTAGTGAGCATATTTTCGTTAAAGACAAAATAAATGGTGATTATTGTCAAATTTTAACTTGCAATAAAAACCATATCGATTAATATTCTAACGAAAAGAACTGAAACCACATTTAGGTGCCAAATATGGATATACAAGCTTTACTTTGAAGTGCATCTTGGGAAATGTAGTTTTGAGAGAAACCAGCATTCTAATTGGTCACTGCCTGACCTTTCACTTATCACGTGGTTTAAAATCTTCAGCAGGATGGCGCGAGAACTTGTCATACCGCAGCACAGCTAAAATATTTATTTTTAGTTTAGTTTTGTTTGTCGTCTTTAGTTTAAACCCGTTCGCGTCTGTTTAGCAAACTCAAGTAAGTCGCGTTTAGTTGTTCGTATTCTCTTTAGGAGCTGTATTTCTCCATGACACAACAGCCAGAGTAAATATGACTTTTTACTGCGTTCATAAGTGAAACATAATAGAAACCTCTCGTTAGCGGCTAAACATACACTCCCGGACAGCAGCGTGTTGTTTTAAACAGTGAGCTGCGTGGCCGCCTCCAGTCTCTGTGTGTTTTTGGTTTTATCCTAAAGAATGAGTGTGTTGGAAGTGAAGTTCGTCGGGGATGGAGATGTTCAGGAGCACATCGTGGACAAACATGAGGGTGAGGAGGTCTATGTTTTCTGGCACTCCGTGTTTTGCACTACAAGGAGTATTTAATCAAACGCTTGAACAGCTTAAAATTTTTTTTGAATATGTTGTGGTGTTCCTCTAATCCAAAAAGGCTAAAGAATATACATATACGCTCAGAACTGTTGGATTATCTGCCCCTCAGCAACTTGCACTTTGATTTTGACATAATTTTTGCTCAATATTTAAACTCTTCTTGGCACAACTGGTGCACTTCGTGTAAACTTTGTCCATTCAGTCCAAAATCACTTAGCATGTGTGTTTGAGATTATTATCCTCATGGAAACAGCCACCTGATCCAAATGTTCATGATGGAACTAGAAAAGGAGAAAAGGACGATTTGACAGGAAGCATCAAACTGGTACCACTGTACTTGGTGGTGGCAGCATTATACTGAGGAGATGTTTTGCTACCAGTGGCGAATGATATGATGAATTTCCATAACTTGAAGTCAAATCAACAGTAGAGCTGGACGATATGGCTTAAAATTAAAATTTTAGATTTTTTTTCTTTTCATACCTGATTTGATTTCAATCTTTTTTTTTTTTCTCTTTTTTCCCACTTTCTCGCTTTCTTTTCTATAAAAGGAATTACAAACAGAAAATATTTTCAAAAAGTAGCTTTTATTTCAGTCATCTCTTCTTTGAGTTGTATGATGGGGCATTAGGGGCAAGCTACAATATTTTTAGTCATATTATCAGAAATAAATTAAATTTTATCACAAAACATTACAACTGAGAAACTTTTTTTAATTAGAAAAAAGCTTCAGTAGATTTATCAGGATCTGACATGAACAGCTAAGTTTGTGTTCTTTCTTCAAAATAGATATTTTAAAATATTAAGTATTATGTGTAAAACTTCTACCAAAGAACGACTTTACAAGGTGCTCAACATTCCTTTTAATTTATTTTTCTCATAGAAATGTCCTAAAATTTTTACTTTATTCTTCCAACATTACGACTTTATTCTCGTAACACTTCGTCGTACAACTTACAGAAGAAGTTATTGAAATAAAAGCTACTTTTTGAAAATATTTTTCTGTCATTTGTAATTTCTTTCTCAGGAAAGAAAGCGAGAAAAATTGTGGAGTTGAGCCAAACCCAAGGAGTGCATTAAAAAAATAAAAAATCCAGATTCTTCCAAATACAAATTTTTCAGAATTCAAAAATTCAATTAATTTTGGTTGATCTATTGGGAAAATGAACCCAAACAGACTTCTAAACTCAGTTCAAAATCAACAAAGTTTCCGGAGCAACCCAAATTCAACCCAACTGAAAACTTGTGGACTTTGTTCAAAACGCCACCAATTCAAACGGGCTGCACCAGTTTTGCCTCTGACCTTTTGTCTGTGTGCGCTGTGCCTCAACAAGGCGTGCAGAACGGCGCCGGCAGCGTCCAGAGGTTGGTGAAGTTTAAGAGCCCAGCTGGACAGAAGGGACACGTAGAGGATGAGCAACTGGATCAGGAGGAAAACGGAGTCTACGATCAGCAGGGCTACATCCGAGTTCTGGGAACGGAGAATAACGGAGGTAACGCACACAGCTTCTTTATCCAGACTTAATTGGCTTGTCTGATGACGACAGAGGCATAACTAGCTTCGTGTGCAGTCTGAACTGTCACAGAATCGTTACTTTTAGGAATAATTACTCGGGCTGAAACTATTAATCAGATTAATTATGATGAATCGATTATTGAAATAATTTAATAACCGATTATTCGAACAGGAGTACACAGACTCCAGAAAAGGTGATTTGCTGAAAGAACAACACAGTCAGAGCAGTAACTAAGTCAAAACTGTACAACATCTTTTTAGCACCTTTGGCTATCTATTATTAATCAGTTTGTCCAAAAATAATCAGATCATCTCTCTACTGTATTGATGAGTCAAGTTGAAACCGATGTTGATGTTGGAAATATTCTTTTAGCTGTAGAGGCATTCTTTGCTACAAATGATCAAGCATTCACTAAAGGAATGTTATTATTCCATCTTAGGCAACTTGTTTATTTTCTAATTTAAATAAGGAATTTAATTATTTGTCTGTATTTTTCTAATATTGTATAAAAAAGGATTAATTTAAAATCTGCATAATGTGCCAGTTTTTTTGTTCGATTACTCATGAGAGTAATCGATAGATGTAACTAAATAATGATTAGTTACATCCCTAATAATTAAAAAGAGAAATTCTCATATAATGCAGATCTGTTATTGTTCTTTGGTTCTGCAGAAGATGAGGATGGCCTCTCCAGAGTGGCTGGAGCCTCCATTTTTACCTTCCAGAAAAACAGACGTGGCAACAGCATGGCCAACACTGGTGAGATCTGCTGGTTTCCAGTAAAAACGATTACATTTTTACTCTAATGGTTTTGTGAAGCTGGATTTATCACGTTTCATAACGGACGCTTTGTGTTGTACGTCTTATTGGTGGACGCAGCAAGCTCGCTCGCTCGGACTCCGGGGAAAAGTGTGAGCCTCGGTCCGGCTGAACCCTGCACTCCGACGCGGACGGGCCGACGTGAGTCCAGATCATCGTCCCATCACATATGATCGACCAGATCCTGTGTTTATTTGAAGATGACACTTTTTTCTCTCTCTCTTTGACTAGACCACAAAGGCGAAATCAGGACACCACAGAGGGTAGGACCCCAAACTTAAGTGTTGATTTAAAATGCGCTTTGAGATTTGTCTGGTCTCTTAACCAGCTCCGGTTTAGCAGATCAAGAAGGTCCGGTTTGTCTCCACAACGCCTCACAGGCTCAGAAAGAGACTAACAAGTAAGCACAGCATGTTTTATTGAGATGTATAACGGTGCCTTCTGAAGGTTTTTGCACCAACACTGACATCTTTCATGATTGCCACGTGAAATTCAGACTTCAGTGTGTTTCATTGATGATTTCATGTGATCAACCAGGACTAAGTAATGTATAAATGGGACACTGAACAGGAAATAAAAGATTATTTGTGCCTGCTGAACCACCACACACATCCTTACAAAGCCTTAAATTCATGTATAAAAACTTAAGACCTTAAAATGCCTTAAGTTTGTCTTTAAAATGGGGTGTGCTGTGGTGGCGCAGGGGTTGAGCACAACCTACATATGGAGGCCTTAGCTCTCATCGCAACTGTCGCAGGTTCAATTCCCAGCCTTGGCAACCCTTGCTGCATGTCCTCCCCCCTCTCCCACTACCCACCCCCCTACCAATTAACCATCAAATAAAGGCCACAAGAGCTTAAAAAAAAAAAAACAAGTTTGTCTTTAAAAAAAGTAAGTTGACCTTAAATATGTTAAACATAGGTCATTCATAATTTTTCTTCAACTTCCCACTTGTTCTCTGTGTTGTGTTCTTTTTAATCCCAATAAAATACATTTAAGTTTGCAATTTGAGGAAACTGTGAAAAAGTAAAAGGATGTGAATTATTTTTGCAAGCATGTAAATGTGCCACCATTCTAATGTTTTCAGCGCCGAGCCTTCGGTCGGACAGCGACAGTGAGCTCTCGCCGTCTGACTCTGAGGAGGATGGAGAGGAGGAGGAGGAGAAAGAGGAAGAGGATAGGCTAAAGGAAAAGCTGAAAATTAATAAAGAGGAAAAAGAGATCCATAAAAACTACAGAACTCCTAGTAAAGGTTCCTCTGCAGCTCTCTTTAAGACTCCAGCCAAGAAGAGCAAGAACACACCCGAACCTGTTAACCAGCCCGCCATGACCGAGGAGTACTTTGAGGCTCATGGCAGCTCCAAAATTCTGACATCAGACCGGACCCTTGAGCGCCTGCACACCCCTAAACTAGACAGGGTAGGTTGATCACATTCAGGGTTTTAAAACCTAATAAATGTCT